TTAAGCCTTGTTTTTCGACGCCGGTGTGTCATTCCAGTAGGACCTGTTCGGTGCACTATGGGAATCAAGAGGAGCATTCCGACATTTGTAGAAACAATGGAAAGCAATGGGAATTTTTGGAGGAGTTAGTTGAAAATAGAATGTGGTCGGCGATTGAGGCGTTGGGAGTGGTGAACTTAGATGGAAAGACTAATTATGCAAAAGAGATTGAGGAGTTGGAGAGAGTGGATAAAAAAGGAAAATAGTTGGGAAGGTGAACTCAAAAGGTTGGAAATGATTATAGGAAACATGAATATAAGGGGGGAGGCAATGCGCTAAAAAGGAGAAGAATTAGTGCGTTGATTAAAAGGGACTGGGCGAATATTTTCTTGATTCAAGAAACTAAATTCATTTGTATGCAAGATTTTTGTGCTAAAAGTATGTGGAGTAACACTGAGATAAGATATTCATACTCAAATTCAAGAGGGGCGTCGGGAGGTATTATAACATTATGGAAGGAAGGTGTGGTGGAAATTACTCATAGTTTCAAAGGAGAGGGTTTCTCGAGGATAAAAGTGTTGTGGAAGGATTTTTCTATTAAGTGGTGAATGTTTACTCATCATGTGAGTTTAGTAAAAAGAAAACGTTATGGGAGAAGTTGTTGGAGCTTAAGGAGGAGAATAACTATGGAGAATGGATTATTGGCGGCGATTTTAATTCAATCAAGAACAATAGGGAGAGATATGGGAGGATGTCGAGGGAGAATAGTAGGGAGATTAAGAACTTTTCAGAGTTTATTGAGAATATTGGTTTGGTGGACATACCTTATAAAGGCAAGTAATTCTCTTGGTATAGTGGTGATGGAAGTCCTGAGTAGGATAGACCGGTTTTTATTGTCCGATAAAATTGTGAATAGATGGGAGGTGATTGGTCAACTTATTGGTGATAGAAATATTTCGAATCATTGCCCCATTTGATTGGTGGTGGATAATATTAATTGGGGATCTAAACCTTTTAGGTTCAATAATGAGTGTTTTACTTTCAAAATTTTATTTCTTTTCTGGAAAATGAGTGGAATGAGTTGAAGGTGGAAGGAAGAGGTGACTTTGTTCTAAAAAAAAAGTTACGACTTCTTAAGAAGAGACTCAAGTGGTGGAATAAGACCGAGTTTGGGAGGATAGATATGGAGGTGGGGGAGAATGCAAGAGCTTTGAATTTATGTGATGAAAGGTTGGAAGGGGAGTTGGAAGAGATACATCCGGAAATTTTGTCTAATAGGAAAGAGGCGACAAGTAGATTTTGATTGAATTTGAGGATTAAAGAAAATATGTTAGTCCAAAAATCTAGAGTTAATTTGGGTTAAGGATGGAGATTCTAATAGTAGTTTCTTTCATAGAGTTATGAGAGAAAGAAGAAGACACAATCATATCGGTCCTATTATTTCTTCTAATGATCTTTTGGAATTGGTGTTGGATGTTAAGGAGGGGGTCCGGAGTCACTTTTCGAGCAAATTCATAGAGTCAGAGAGGGAGGTTTTGAGGTTGGAAGGGATCCCTTTTAAATGTACGAGCATAGAGGATAGTGTTTTTCTTAATAGCCCTTTTCAAAAGGAAGAGATCAAGGAAACGGTGTGGGTTGTGGGAGTTATAAAAGTTCGGATCCGGATGGTTATACTTTTATGTTCATTAAAAAGTATTGGAATATTCTTAAATGGGATTTTATTCGCTTCATAAATTGTTTTCATTATGGGAGTGATCTTTCTAAAGCGATCACTTCTTCTTTCTTGACATTGGTCCCTGAATCTCCTAATTCGGTGTCTTTGGATGATTATAGACCGATTTGTCTGTATAAGGTAATTGCTAAATTACTAGCGGGAAGATTGAAAAAAGCGGTGAACTCTATTATTACCCCGTGTCAAAGTGCTTTTGTTCCGGGGGAGACAATTGTTTGATGGAGTCTTGATGGCTAATGAAGTGGTTAATTATGTTAAAAAGGAGGGTAGAAATTGTCTTCTCTTTAACGTGGACTTTGAAAAAGTGTACGATAAGGTAAATTGAATTTTTTTAAGATTCATGATGGAGAAGATGGGGTTTGGGTCGGTTTAGAGGAGGTGGATTGAGCTATTAGAGTTTCAAAGCGAGATGTCAGTCTTAGTTAATGGTAGTCCGGAGAAGGAGTTTGTCGTAGAGAAAGTTTAAAGGCAGGGAGATCCTTTCTTGTCTTTTCTATTTGTTTTGGTACCAAAAGGTTTAGCGAGATTTATAAGGAAATCTCAAGAAATTGGTAAATACACTGAGTTTGTGATTAATGAAAATGTATTGTTGATATTCTTCAATTTATGGACGATACTTTGCTTATTAGGGAAGGGTCGTGGAAGCATGTGTGGGTTATTAAGTCGGTGTTGAGGACTTTTAAACTTGTGTCGGGTTTAGGCATTAATTATCATAAAAGAAAATTGATTAGTATTAACACGAATTCGGATTTTTTGAAAGTTGCTTCCTATGTTCTTGCGTGTAAGGTGGAAGAGAGTAATTTTTGGTATTTCGATTGACTTCAATCCAAAGAGTTATTCGACGTGGGTTCCTCTTATTAATAAGATGAAGAATCACTTATTGGGTTGGAAGAATCATTTTCTTAACCTTGGAGAAAGAATCACGTTATTGAACTCTATTATTTGTTCTTTGACTATTTTCACTATGTCTTTTTACAAGATGCTAAGGAAGGTGGTTAAAGAATTTAGTAGCTTGCAAGGTAGATTATTGTGAGGAGGGATGGAGGAAAAGAAAAAGATTCATTGGATTAGTTGAAAGAAAGTGTGTCTTCTTTTTGAATCAGGAGGCTTGGTGTCAAAAATATTATGGATTTTAATATGGCTCTTGTTAATAAGTGGAGATGGAGGATTCTTCATGGAAGTCCATCAATAACAAACTAACATATCAAAAAAAAAAATTATAATCATTATCAACATGAGTATTGAAACCTGATACAACAGTGTCGGATTTGTATCTCTCCATTCTCCAAATCCATCAATCAAATACTACAAAATTATGATTTTTTTTTGGAACATACAAACAAATAAACATGTGTCGTACTGTGATTTGAAGAATGAAGCCACCTAAACATCTTAAATGGCACATTAAGAAGAGTTCTAACTTCTAAACCACCTTAACAAAGTAATCATGAATGTTCATCCTTATGACAAATTCTACTTTTGTAACTGGCAACCAGCATCCCCCGCATATGGATGATAAAAAGGACTTGAAGGGCAGCCCAGTAGTCCAACCGTGGGATTTATAATTTTTCCATATTTGGATCATGATCAAGTGAACTCAGGGAAACCACAGAAACTTCGGATGCATTGAAATCATACTTCAAAAGAAGCCCTCAAGATTTGACATTTTGAAGCTTTGCAGTAGATAACTTTGTAAGCATTCTGTCATGATTAAGCATGGCGCTTACAGTTTCAATTACCAGAATGATCTGCAAGAAAGCATAACCAATTGCAGTAGCAAAGTAAAAGTTTGCATTGCCGGTTCCCCTCCATATCCATAAGTTGTGCATCACAGGGCTAAAAAGTGAAACTCCAACATAACCAGAAAACAGGAAGAATGAATACTGAATATCTGTGAGTTCATAAGCAAATAAGCCCAGTAAACCCAAGTACAAAGCCGAATCACCAACAGAAGGATAAGACTTCAATATGGAAGAAAGCACAATGTATACAAAAGCTAGAAAGCAAGGCCGGTGATTAAGACGTATGGCTAATGGCACTATCAACAATAGAATATTCCCTTGGAATACTATAAGGAAGAAACTTCTGAAGAAGTCAAAAACTTCAGCGAAGAAGTACCAAAAAACTCCAATGTTTGGAGACAAATCTTGTATGGTAAGAATGAAGCCATAGGATCTTTTGAACATCTCCTGTAGACCACCATGCTGTTGGACACAGATGCCACAGAGGATTAAAACATAGAATGACCACAACAAAGCCCAGAACAAAAAAAGCACAACTGGCCTCCATGAGAACACTTTAAGCATCCCTTTCTCGTTTACCAATTCATCTTTCGAACAATTCCTATCGCTTGAGGTGGAATCCTGAACTTCACGACTTTTTCTTTGCCGGAATAATTTCTTAGGGGGGGCATCAGGGCCATAACCAAATAACAGTATCACTGGGATAATAAGGATTGCCGGGTACAGAGACAAATGAGTAGCTACAACCCACCCAAAAGCAGCCAGTGGAGCTACTCGTGCACACGCTCCATAAAGGGTTAACACAATCATCAAGTTCTCGATCACAGAAGTCGATAGACCAACACATGCAACAACCGTAAACGGATTCCACAAGTATACAAGAGCAGCAAGCTCCCCTGAAAGAAAAACATCCGAATCCTCTGATAATTCATAAAGCCCAACAGATTGCAAACTTGAACCGTATCCCACCTGAAGTTTTTTACCAGCAGCACAAATGAGCATTGCGGCAACAACATCTGCCATTACAAAAACCAAACTGCATAAAACATAATCAGGTTGTCCTTCAATCTTTGCAACTGTTAGTGGTCCAAGAACCGTCAACAGCAAAGGAGAGCCATGGTACATTGATCCTGCATAGGGTGACATCGATGATTGCTTCAACCAGTAACCCTCAGCAAGACGACGAATGCTAGTGAGAGGGGTCGAAATTTCGGGGCGAGACCAGAGGTTAAGGTTTTTGGTTAAGTAAACAAGAATCAGTCTCAAAATGACCGAACCGATAACCCAAGTCCAGAACCATTGAACCTTCTTCATCTTCAAAACGAAACGGCTTCAATTGCAGTAGTTTCAACAAAATTATGATATCAATTTTAAAAGAAATAGAAAAATTTGATGAAACTAAACAGAAATTACAGTATCAATTCTGCAATTGCAAAATGAAATAACCTAAGAAAGCAAATAAAAAAACTGATCCCTAAATTTTGAAATCGAAGTCTCTTATTATTCCAAAAATATGGAGAAGCTAACCTTAACGCAGAAGACAACTAATGAGCAGTGGACGTCAACCGGAGAAGAAAACTGAGCGGCGAGCCAAGGTTTCAAAGAATTCTGTTTTTTTTTCTTTTATAGTTACGTCGTCTATTTTATATTTAATAGATATTTTATATTTTATGAAGGATAATTGGATGGTGGTGTTTTATCAAGTTTCCGCCAACCCTTTCTTAATTTCGTTTCCACCAAACTCTGAAGGTTAATTACATTTTGACAGGTTTATATCAGTGATAGTTACATGCGGTTACCACAATTTTGAGTTAACTGTCATTCACTTAATAAAAACTGCACCATTTTATTAAAATCTTTTTTGTTAATTAAGTAAAATGATATTTTAAAGGTTAAAATGGAAATGAAATTAGGGCAGCTCAAAATCTCTTATTATCCCCTTTATATATAAATATATATAGAAGAAGAAGATTTATTTATATATTTTTTATATAGTAAATCAATGAAGTTGAAAAATAATTCATTTCTTTTAATTAAATCATGCCAAGTTTCTTAATTTAAAAACTTTGATGATAAAAAAACTCAATGAATTAAAATAAAAATTGTTCCGTTGTGGTATTAGAAATGAAGAGGATTGTTAAAATTACGGTGGAGCGAAGTTTTTTGAGCAATTTGGTGTCGTAGTATTGTGGATTGAAGGTTGCGATCTAATAGGAACACTACAAGAAATTTGTGTTTTAGCGTCGGTTAAAAACCATCATTAACAAGTAAAAAATCGACGTTAAATGTCTTTAGCGTCGGCTTGACGTCAGAGTCGGGACGAACACGCTAAAGGTGGAAGCAAACCATAACGGCCAGCCTTCGCTACATGTAGCATAGACTACGGCAACACTAACGAGACGGTATCTTATCAAAACCGACGCTACATTATAGAATTGTTCATTTAGCGTCAGTTGTTGTGACGCTAATATTTATTTAGTGGCAGTTCTATAGTATTTTTCCCGAATAGCATCGGTTTAGTGGGTCACTTAAATATTATCTTCAATGTATTAGCGTCGGTTCTGTGGGCCACTATTTCTAAGATCCAGCGTAGGTCATAAAGAATGCTACATAGCTAAAGTCGTGCAATGTAGCGTAGCCTAAAGTCGACGCTAACTGTCTATTATGTTGTTTAGAAGCGTCGGTTTTAGCCGACGCTATTATTTATTTATTCTGGCAATTCTGTTTTATATTATATATACCTATTTAAATCCAAATTAATTCTACTTGAAATTTAAACCTGTTTTTGTAATTCAAACTATTCATTGATATATTATCACAAAAACCTCAACACAAGATAACAAACTTCCAAAAATCTACGATATTGCTACATTAATTAACATGTCACAGTTACATCAAAATATTGACACAATATATCAAACTAGTTCTCATCCACAATGTTGTTACATAAAGATGTCAAAGTTACATCAAAATACCAACACAAAATATCAAACTAGTGAAAATCCACAAAACAAGTTCTAAAACTAAGAAAAAGACAATGTCAACATCCATCACTCATTCCCTCTAGATCCAATGACTGACCATCAGAGTCATCATCATAATGATCACTAGCACTAGAATGGACACTAGAAGGAACAGTGAAAGTACCCGTCTGACCCGACTGCCAAGCAAACTGTTGTTTCTGAAATTCTTCAAATTTCCTTTTCAATTTTGCTGTCTCAGCCATAGCTTCTCTTGCATTCGCATTCGCTTCGTTTGCACGCGCATTAGCTAATGCAGCTTCTTCACGTGCTCTAGAAGCCTCTGCTCTAGCCATCTCAATGGCTTAGCTCTCCGCTTCTCTATTCTGGTTTGAAATGGTCACTTGTGTCAAGTAAGACACTCCATATTGTATGTTGACTGCCATTCGGGCAGTTCCATAACATCGGTCTCGTGACTTACCGCCGACAACTTCTTTCCATAATTGTAGCTTTTCCGACCCATCCATATTATTATCATTTTGGGTGACTTGTGTTAGACGATTCACATAATCATCTCGTACAACACAATATAATAATTAGGACATTTCAATAAGCTTCCTGAAACAATAAGATATATGATAATTGTAGCAGGAAATTAGCTTGTGTTAGTTTAATTTGCCAACAACTACTACTGTTAAATGCTTGAGTGATGCAGGTTTTTTCCTTGATGGGTATGTCAATTTAATTTAATTTACTCTATCATTCAGTCATTACAGCAAAACTGAATTTTAAATTGCACCCTGTTTATGCAGAAGAGATGTCAGTTTGAATCACACTATGTGGTACTTCGTCAAAAGTCTAGTTACATTGCAGGTAATTTTCAACATGTTATTCCCTAACATTGAATTTTCAAGTTGCATAACAGAAACATAATTGCTTAAGAGTAAACAGACTTACTTGACATGTTTTTGTTTTGTTTACACCAGGGGATAGAGCAGAACCTTAATGAAAACTGCATCACTGCACTTTCCTATCTAGACTTGGTATGTTTTCTCATCAACTGGTATCATTATCTCAGGAAGATTTTACAACATTCTGACATATGTCACGTTTTTTTCATGCAGTGCTTCTTTCCACAATATGCATTGAAATATATATCAACACCGTTTTTTATCTTGAATTCTGCTTATGATGTATTCCGGGTTATGGTTTTTTGATGCAGTTTGTTCCTAACTTTCTAAGTTGCATATTCAATTAAACCCATAGTCGGTGAACTATGAAATTAATAGACTTAAAACTTCAACAGTTCCATCATATATTGGCGCCACCTTAAGTTGATCCCTTCGGGCACTGGAACTGCAGGGTGAACAAGTCGACATGCTTGCAGCTTTGAAACCAGGTTTCACGTTTTTTAGTATTTGTAAATAGGACTGACTTTTTTTAATCCCATGAACTTTCCTCAGGTTTTAGGCTCAGCATGCTTGCAGCTTTGAAACAGTTCTACTTTTATTTGAACAGAGGGGGAATGTTCATAAATTCATGTTTTGCTCATTGCCAAAGTGAATCGCAAGAAACATGGTTTGGAGACGATTCTCCTAGAATAAATAACAAGGTACTAATTTGAAACTTACACTTGAAAAATGAAGCAATATTTAAAGTGTGAACTTCAGCATAGCAAATGTTTAATCAGCATTCAGTAACATGGCTTGTGTTAGACGATTCAAATTTTTAGATTGATAAAGATGAAGAAACAAGCAGGAAATTAGCTAAATTAGTAAATCTCACAGGAAATAATCTAACAACATTCATTCCAAACAACATTGGTCATATGCAGAGCTTATAACTACTGAGCATTTCAAATTTGACGTTTCTTAATTACACGAACTTGTCTTTCAACAACTTAGAAGGCGAAATTCCACTAAGCACTCAATTACAATCTCATGAATACACTGGTGCGGTATGGAAGCAATATGGAAGCATAAATGCAGTATGAAAAAACTAGACACGGATATGAAATTAAGTTAAGGCATAAAAAAAGGTCTTACATGTGTATTCTCTGCACGACGGTCAACCCACTGCCCATTCTTCTTTTTGTGGGTGACCATGAAGAGCTCGTCCAGATTTGGTGGTCGGCTCAACTTTTTCTCCTATAAATAAAGACAAACATGTATATGGTTACGATGAATATCAGATATAAATATGTTGACGCGTTGAAATTACAAACAGAATACACACCAATTCTATAGCAACATCATGATGAGCTATGCGTCCTGTGGTATGGACCGCCCCCTTTGGTTGATGCTCGATTAGTCTTATTTTGTCGAGAGACCTTTTTGAATTCTTCTATTTGCCACCCATCAAGAAGATACGCATAAACCTTTTCACCCATCCATTTCGTTTTCCCCCTTTTTCCTAATCTTACCAAATATATCAGATATTCTTTTACCACAAGCTTTATGAAACAAATCTTGTATTTTGGCGTCAGCACACGACTCCCATTGAACAAAAGACTGCCAAAAGAGAAATATTGCTGATTAAACTGTAAAAAAATATACATTATCATCATACTATAGTAAAAAGGAAATTACATGTCTTACTTTAAACAAATCAAAGTATGTGTGTCTCTCTTCTCTTCTATTCTCAGGTTTAAGCTCACTATACTGCAAGAAATTTCCTTTATAAAGTTTTATTAAAACTTTTCTAATAGCTTCAGCAACAATACTGCTTGGAGTCAACCTACAAAGCAAATATCAAGTTTACCAAACAATTAGAACAAAGATCATGTGAGCATAGTATTCTGCAAACTTATGTAAATGCATTGCATTTTATTAGTAGTATATTTGTATTAGAAATTTATTTGGTGAATGTACTATGTTATAATGTTATAGACATGTTCTCATACTTGAATAAGAAGCAAAATCTAAGTGTTGCAGAGATTATCTAAGTGTTTTACACTAAACAGCATCAAATTTGGACCGCAAAAAAGGATTTTTAACTTCATGCTTTATGTATCAAAAAGTGTGCGTAACTAAATTTTTCACCCGTTTCCCACAATGCTAATCATCGGCCTTTGCCCATCAACAAATGCTTGTTCTGCGGCCTCCTCTTTCTCATCAGAAATAGTTTGGTCCCTCTCCTCTTCCTCCCCTGCTATCATGGTGTGATTGACAGCTGGACCTTGCAAAACATGATGTGTCACTCCAGGGGTAGGAACAAATGTGGATTCCTCAAATGTCGATGATGTGTCAGTTGCCTGAGGCTGTGATGCTGCTTTGATTGTCTGAGACAGTAGAGGTGTTGAGGCTGTAAGAGGCGGGGAAGGTGTTGTGGTTGTATGAGGCGGTGGTGGTGCTGCGCTGGTATGAGGCGGTGGAGGAGCTTGTGTTCTTTGACGCATGCTAGAAGTGGTGCTTTTGTTCCTTGTGTCATTCTTCAAGCGAGATGGGTTTCCCACATTTTCTATAAGCATCAATCAAAGCATTGTTGAGAATCACATTGGAGTGAAATCCAACTATAACTGCCACTACATAATCCTTGTTTTTATCCAGAAACATATCAGCCTGATATGTCACCTCCCCGACATAATGAAATATTATGAAATTAGTTCGAGAAAGTTTCGATTGGATAAAGCGCTTTTTGTTCTTGAATGTCTGGTACAACTTCTGAGCGAATGTTTCATGTGTAGACTTAGGAAATATACCAGCTTCATTAAGAAGTGAAATTATTCCTCCAGGTTTCTGCTCAATTAGATCTGAAACATCTTTGTTATCAACAAACTCTATGTAACTCCAATTGATTTCTTCTTTGGTTTAGCCTTCTGGTTCCATTTTAAAGATATGCTGGTTAAATTGTTGTTGTAGCTTCTCATTTGTAAAATTAACCTTCAGTTTGGTTTCATGCACTGTCATAGAATTGGAATATGTTTCTATAATGTCTTCCTCATTCTTCGCTAATTCCTTGTTATTCAATGGTCTTTTACAAACCAGAACTTTAATTTTCGCCACGGAACTAGACTTCTCTTTGTCGGCCGGTATACTTTTCACTGCATTGTCAGAAGCACGAGTTTTGGCAGTCTGTTTGCTCATGTAAGGTTCAGAGTTATCAAACCTTCTACCACAGTAAAGAGAGTTGGATTCATATGCATCGTAGGTTGGAATCTCAGTAAGAAGCTCAGTATCAAAAGAATGCAGATCCAACAAGCCAGGACTAAAATCACCAGTCGAATCTTCGCCACTCAACTTCAGCGTCGACGCACGATAAGCATCAGGGGGCGAATCAGGCTCCATATAATAATCACTCCCTCCCTACGCTCCACCTCTACCAGAAACCGAATCAGAAAACCTATCCAATTTCAACGACAAAATCGTACCTCTACCCTCACCAGCAACAGTCAAATCAGTAACAAGTGTTTGTGACCATGGAGTCTCAGTTCCACTCGCCGAAGCAACCCTACTCTTAGGATCCAAAGATGTAACATGCTCTTCTTCCTGTCTAGCTTTCTCAAGAATATTATCCAGCACAGGAACAAAACATTCAAACCTCTTCTTCGTATTCTTGGACGAATAACCACCACTCTCAAACTTCTCAAGACTCTGCCATTCATCTCTCGTTAAATTATACAATTTGCACGAGGGTTTTGGGAGAATGAAGAGATTTGGGGATTTTTTATTGATGATTTCTTGAAACAGGGATGAGACACTTGTAACAGGAGATTTTTGGTGGGTTTTGATTTGGGGAGAGAATAGGGTTTGGGTTTGGTGTTGAGAGAGAAGGGAGAATTGACACATGAAGATGCAATTGGATTCTTCTATTCTGAAAACCAATCGAGATGTACTGAATGAGGTGAATGAGGAGAAGTGTTCTTGTGGTTATTGGAAATAGTGTTTGTGGATTTGGAGCAGAAATTAGATGTTGTTGTTGGTGTCGAGTGAAGGATGAAAATGGAGGGTTTGAGAAATAATAGTAATATGGAGGGTTGGAGTTTAGGAATGAAGGATATAGGTTAGGTGTAGTTGCTGAATATCTATGGTTTAGATATAATTTTGTTGAAGAAGATACAATATTGGTATAATAAGGTGTAAAAATTTCTTATTGGAAAAGATGGAAATGAGGAATATGATTGTTGAGGTGAAGTAGAAATTATGTGTTGTTGTTTTTGATATGGAATGTATGGAGTGTATGGGGTAGGAATGATAATATGGATATTCTATGGAAGGATTGAAGTTCAAGGATGAAAGCATCAATTGATAGGAAAATTCCTACCAAAAATTATGAACTAGGGTTTTCTACACTAAAAGGGGTAGAATATTAAATTGATTAAATAAAAATAAAGGAAGATAAAAGAACTTTTTCATTTGATTGTTTGATTCCAAATGTCTCCATGAGACTACATTATATAATATGGATAATAACCATAAAAGCCCAAATATTACTAAGAGCCCAATAACAACATAATAGCTAATAATATAAATAATTTACTAAATTAATATTCTAACTTAATTTAACTCTTAATTCACTCTCTATCATGATCACGGTGTCTCTTGAACTAAAGATGTTGATCTTGAATCAACATCGTTAATTGATGTCAATCTTAAATTGGTGTTTGCTAATTTTCGATATGACGGATCAAGGGGATACTTGCATGGTTAGCACTACAACGCTCGGGTCAGTTTAGGGTTCAATATAATTGTTGTGAAAGTGGATATTAAATATTGTGTATTTGAAAATCCTTTGCGGAAGTATATATACTTTGAGCTTAATGGAGCAGGTTGGATAAGTGGACCTCGTGTTATTGGGCCTTTGGCCAGCACGGAAGAGTTGCCCACAAGACTTGCCGGACATTCTGGATATCGAAGGAGTCTTTTAGCAGTTGTGGACGGACCTTAGTAATGGTTATCCATGCATCGGCTAGCATACGTTGCTTTGGATTTGCCAAAGTGTAATGGGGAACGTAAGCATTAAATGCAGTTCTATGATTGAAAAGTTTTATCATTTTTCTTTGGCATGTGACTTGAAAAGCTATAAAGTAGTGTGATGCAACTTACTGTGCACTTGAGTTTGATTGTGTCCTCAAGATGAAATCTAACCATTTATCCATGCTCGCTTCTTACTTTCAATTTGATCCTCCTGATTGTCTTTGTCTATATAAGGATATAGGGAATATGGAGAAACTTTTATGCAATCTTGTAAACTGAGTTTTCCTTTGTACCTTTTAAGTCACGCGTTTGTTGGTATTCTTTTTCTTTGGGGTTTTTTGTTTTTTTCAAGAGTGCAATTTTCGAGTTCTTTCGTATTCAATCATCTTCAACTCTGAACGCTCGAAAGTTGTCACTTTTCTCACTTATCATGTTTAAGATTATTGAATAGGGGCAGTTGTTGCACCCCAAAATTTACCCTCTTCATTATGGCTTATGTTTCATCATACATATTCATGCATTTTTGAAATGGGATCAAGGTATCTCTGGCTCTCATAGATTTCTTCAAGCTGTGGAAAATGGTTGTATTGTCAATCAGTCCAAGGAGTATCATATCCTCATTCTTCTATTGGTTCAAGTTACCAAGGCTTCTCAGGCCTCATGACGTCTCAAGTTGATTCTTTGTTTCATCAAAGAATTAAAAATGGCAAGAGTTTCAAAGTAAATCTCATTCTTCTCTGGCCTTTGTGCATGGTCTCTGGTTGCTGAAATGTGTGGCACTTTTATTGATAAAGTTTTGGAAGCATTATAATTATGAGTTTTATCTCAATACACGAGGCATCTGAGTTCAAAATATCAGCAGTGTTAGGGTTTTGATCCTGGGCATTGACCAGAACTTGTGAAGTTTGACTTTCTTTTGGTACTATAAGTGCAACATCGCATTTTTGGAAATTTGCCTAGAGCTCTTGAGTTGGATATTGGAGGAGAGCAGAGGAAAACTTTTGAATGTTGGTGGATTCGTTTTTAGGCGCCAAAGTTCGAATTCTATTTTCTATTAGGTTCAAGTTGCCAAGCTTTCTTATCAATTCTTAAGCAAAGATTAAATTGGGTTTCAATTCAAAATTTTCAATGCAAATGAACTTTAAAGAAAGTTCAAATGCCAATTCAAAGTTCATAAGTCCTACATGGTATCCTAGAACCAAGTTCTTTCAAAGTTTCAATAAAAGATGCAAGTTTCAATGTTCAAAATCGTTTCTTCTCATTCATGCTCAAGAATTCAAGGTTACAACAAAGCATCATTGTTATTTAAGTTTACAAGTAAATTTGAATACACTTATTACAAGTCTTCAAGTCTCAAAGTTGAAATCACAAGTTGAAATCACAATGTTATAAAATTTCCTAATGGATACAAGTTTGTTCTAAAAACTACAAAGAGGTCCTCTTTATCTTCAAGGTCCTTTGAGCGCTTCAAGTCTCTTCTGTCTCTTCTGTCTCTTTCATCCTCTTCACTAACTTGCTCCATTAATCGTCATGTTTTGTTGATCATTCATGGAACAAGAACAAGAAAAGGAAATTGGTTAGCAACATGGTTATCAAAACATGAACAAGAACAAGTTTTACACTAAGGATTTTTCTCTTTTCAAAATCATCATGAGGGTGTGTATAAGAATAAGAATAAAGGTTTTTTTTAATCACATTCAAGTTTTAAGCAACCAAGGCCTCATAGAAAAATCATAATTTTATCATAGGCCTACTCAACCAATTGCAAATCACAAAAAGGTTATTTTGGTTCACAAAAGAAATTCAACAAGGCAGTAAGTCAGAGTCGTGTTTCCAAGCCCAACAAACATAATCATCTCAGCAAGCAAAAATGCAGTAACATTTCAAAAGTTAGATCGAACAAATATTAATTTGCTAAGCCTAAACGCAAAATAATTCAGCAAGCATGTTATCACAACAAATCAAAGGTTCAACCTAGCAACACCAAAGCCTCATAAACAGTTTCGTTTCACATAGTCAAAGGTACAAATTTAAATCATGGGCCTAATTCTCTACTGCAAATCGCAAACAGCTTGGTTCACAATAGAGAATTTGAAGGAAAAATAATTCACGGAATAAGTTTCACAAAAATAGCATCACGGTTCAGCAAGTAAAAGCAATACAAGATTCATAAAAAATTGGAACAGTCCCGTCCAAGACAGATCAGAAATAGGCCCATGTATTGAAACTACAAAGTTGTAATACAACCCTACACTCATTTGAAGAATCAGAAGAAAAGAACCGTGAAATAGCTAAACCAGAAAAATCAGAATTAAAACCAAAATTCCAGCTCGGTGGTTTAACCAAATATTCTCAAGCAAGTTTCATAAACTCAATCCTCACCATCCATTCTTCTAACTAACTACTGTAATCCAAGGGCCTTGATTGATCTAGCTCATCAATCTTTAACAAACCATTTCAGAAATATATAACAAATTTTCACATGGTTAATCCTCATTCTCCAATCATTGGAAGAATCACAGAAAAACTCTCTCTACTTTCTAAAACTTTAGGATTCGTTCTCATCATTTTCACTATAAAATTTTAGACAAAATCTCAGAAATTATCACAGAAAGAAACTATCAAGCTAACACAAAAGCCAGCGAGTTATCAACCAATAACCAATAACCCTAAAAAATCTCATCATCGTTTTCCCTATACACTAACCCTTCAGAGAGTCAAAAGAGGAAGAAGAAGTTTTCTAATAAAAAATGATGAAAAACAGAACTAGAAAGACCTCACTAGGAAGGTCGCAATCGCGGATCGCCTTCCATATCCATTGGAAGTTGACTGGTTCCTCCGAGAGGCACCCTCATTGTTGCAAAACTCTTCACCATGCATCAATTGGTGCCAATTCATCACCAGTAATCGATCATCATCACCGAGATTGCAATCAGAGCGCTTAGGGTTTCGATCTCCCTTTCAAGATCTATACTCAACCATGTATTTTCTGCAAAAACGAGTCCCAAATTAGTACTCAGAGAAGAGAGACAAAGAGATTGGTACAATAAAATTTGAGATCAGAGCATCTCCGTCGTGCGACCGCCATAGGAGATTTCCGGCAAGAGCTATGGCGAAGCTCTGTATAGAGAGAAATAAAGGAACAATGAGATAAAGAGAAGAGACAATTGTCTCTCCTGTTTTCCTTTTCTGATTAATTTTTTGATTATTATTTTGTTTTAGTTAATTAATTTAAGATTATATCACTAATCTGGCAGTGACAGGTGTCACCGCCGTTGTGGCCACCATGTAATTCTGTGCAGGTACCTCTCAGTGGTCCACCATGCTCCATCACATCTTTGGCCATCAGATCAACATCACGCGCATCATAAATGATTTCCCATGGTACACCTCCATGAAAAGGTAACACTGGATCCACCAGATCCAACGCGTAACCCTCCATCAACCTTCCCACGCACCCTCGCCTCTTCTAGTGTTAGATCTTCATCAAGCGATCCAGGAAGGAGCTCCTCACCATAGACCTCCTAAGGCTGCTTGCGCTGGATCACGCAGTCTATGACAGCACATGGACCTTCATGTTGGTCCTGGGCACCAGATTGCTTCCTGCACCCCCTGTTTTCTCATTTCAGACCCATTCCATTTGTTTTCTTTATATTTCTTTTTTGTATTGTTTGTTTTAGTATTCTCCTTAGCAAATAATAATAAAAACAATAATAATATAAAAATATATACTTAATAATAATAATAATAATTAGATTGGAAAATATTGTTTGATATTATTAATTATTTTTTTAATTAATGGTATTGAAATTCTGGCAACAGATACTTAATGTCACAGTGAATGTTATGACACTGTATCTGACACACTTCAA